AGGTGGAACGGGGCTGGGGGGGAGGACGAGGTAGGTGATGTGTCTGGAATGGGAGCAACTCTGTCCCACTAAGGCCCATTACCATCCTGGAAGGAGTCCTGTTTCCCTTTATTTACCCGTCTGTTATTTCATACGCAACAAATATTTTTTGAGCACCTGGTCTAAGTGTGGTTAAATAGGTTCCATGAGGGACCACGCCCAGTGTCCATTAAAAATTATTTATTTCTCTAGCATTTTGTGTAGGAGGCCTATGGAAGTCTTGGTGGTCTGGAGGCTGCTGGGGATTGACCCATCGGAGCATGGTTAGCCCAGGATCTGAGGGAAGAGCTGTCATAAAGGCAGACATGATGTGACATGAAAAGTTTCCAGTGTCTGATAGTTTAGAAGGAGGCTTGAAGTGAGCTTTAAGTTCCAGGCAGAGTTTCGGGATTGGCCTATTTCAGAAATGGCATGCAGAGTGGAAAGATGGGAGTGTGAGGTGAACAGGGAACAGTGTGGCCAGGGTGTCCTTCCTGCCCTGCCCTTTAGGCTCCCAGTTCCACCAAAAGAAGCGAGAGCAGGCTGAGAAGGGAACGTTATGATAGATGAGCATCAGTGGCCAGGCAAGGATGAGCATCGTCCAAAGAGATGGTCAGAAGGCACCATTCCCTGGAGAAGGATATCATGCTTGGTAAAGTGGAGGGTCAGTGAAAAAGGGGAAAACCCTCAAGGAGATGGATCAATGCAGTGGCTGCAATGGGGCGCTCAGGTATGGCACAGACTGTGAGGCTGGCACAGGACTAGGCAGTTCTGTTGTACATGGGGTCACTACGAGTCGGAGCTGACTGGACAACACCTAACAACAACATCCGGGAGATGGAACAGCTTATGGCCGGGGAGGCTGAGCATGGGGGTTGGAGAACCATAGTTGGGGGTAATCTGTGTAGGGTGGGTGGTAGCAGGAGAAGAGGCTGGAGAGAGACAGAAGCCAGATCCGGGCCTTATAAAGGATGCTTCAAAGCTTGCACGTATCCTGTAGGACATCTGTGAACTGGGAGACCATATAGGCACTTTGTATTTCAGGAAGGTGCCCCAGAGGAGGGCTGGGAGGGAAGGCACTGGACAGAGTTCACTGTTGAAGGCAGTTAGGTTCTGAGTATAGGCAGTGCTGGAGGGAAAGGTGAGACCAAGATCAGCTGGGAAGATCTAGGGCTGAGAAAAAGCAGGGGCAGGAAGTGTGTAGTGGGCGAAAGCTTTATTCTAGATGCACAGAGAAAATGTCATGATTTTGTCTAAAGTGGATCTGGGCTTCCCCCTGAGCCCCACCCACTGGTTAATGGAAAGAAGTGGGTTTACTCTTACTTAGCACCACATGGGAACCCAAGGTGGCCCTGGGAAACTAAATCTTAGGGCCTCCCACAGCCTGGCCACTTGGCAGGGGACCAAGTTCCCTCTCAGAGCCTCCTAGCCCACATGGGAAGTTGGGCCCAGAGCCGCCCCAGCCTCCCTGCTCCTGTTGTTGGTTGGTGCCCTCAGGACACATGAGTGGGTCCATTCACTCAGATGGCTTCGTTCTCTCGTTTGCCTTCTCAGATACGACAGTCTACTTCCATAAAGATTTACCACCTTGGAAAACCAATGAGGGGCACTGTGAATCTGAATCGACTCTATGGAAGTGTTTATTTTCCCCAGAGGGTGGGCTGTCCTATTATTCTCTCCAACCTCATACTACACCAGCTAAAATGAAAAACAACAGCCTATCTTCTCCTGCAGTTTTCTGTATCAAATCCTGATCTTTCCAGGCACACTGATGCTTCCCACAGACCGGGGTGAGAGCTCTGTGGGCAGAAAGGCATGAGACAAACACACTGCAAGGATGTTTCAAGTCCTCCTCTGAGTAACTTCTCCCATGTTTCTGGCTTGGATTGTTGATAGCATTTAAGCAAAACAAGGAATACAGAATAAGGGCTAAATTTGGGGGGTTGTTGTTGTTATGTGCCGTCGAGTCGGCCCCGACTCATAGTGACCCCTCCTTGGGTTGCCGAGGCAGTATCACTACGGAAGTAGGATTGCCCAACCTTCCTTCCGAGGAGTGGCTGGTGGGTTTGAACCGCCAGCCTTTTGGTTAGCAGTCAAGTGCTTTAGCCACTATGCTACCAGAGGTAGGAAATAATTAATCTGGTATTGGGCCTCAGTTGAGGCATCTGGGTGAAACTGTCTGGCAGGCTGTGGGAGATGTGGTCCTGGGGCTCAGGAGAGAGGTCAGGGCTGAGTGCAAACTGGGAGTGATCAGCCTGAGAATTTTGTACACAGTACGTTAAAGGAAGCATTGTTGGTGCAGTGGTGGAGTTCTCTCCTCCACACAGGAGACCCGGGTTCGATTCCCAGCTAGTGCACCTCACGTCTGACAGTAGAGGCTGAACAGGTTGCAGTGGAGCTTCCAAACAGTGAGCTGGTGCTGACTTGACAGCAAATAGCAACAACCAGTTAAATTGAATTGCACTTGCTTCTGACTGACACTATGTCTTCTCAGGCCCCTTATAGGACTGACAGGGAGGAGGGGAACAGCTGAGGGAGGGCTTATGTGAAAGAGCACACAGGGTGTGGTCCCACCCACGCAGACTTTGTGCCACATGCCACCCTGAGTGAGACCCACACCTCTGTTAGTATAAGTATCATATTTATCCTTTTTCACATTATTTACAAACAGTGAGTAATGCAGCATGGATCCCCACTGGGCCAGTGGCGGCTGCCCAATGGCAGCCTTGTGGGCAGGACAGCCTCTGAGGAAGGGACCCTGGCAGGACTCAGTGGCTGGATGCTGAGACCTCCTGCCTTTCCCTGCCAGCACCCGTCCCTCTGCACTCCTGCTGTCTGTCACTTGCTCTCTACCACCTCCTGAGTGATTAGGAGATTAGAACAAGTGACGTCCTGGAGGCACAGGGCCTCTTCTCAGAAGAGGTGTGATGGAGGGTCCTGTGTGTGGTGCTAAGGGATGGGTGACCTGTGTGGAAGCTCACCTGTGAGGCTGCCAGCGTGGGCTGAGGCAGTATCTGTGAAGGTGAAAACAGAGACTCTATGAAAGATGGGTAGGAAAACAGATTATAAGGCAGCAATGGTGAAAGGCACAGAAAGGATCACGTTAAGTGGATAAGATAGTTTGTTTTTTGTTTTTTGGTATATATATATGTGTGTGTGTGTATATATACATATGTATATGGATGTGGAAGTATATATATAGGTATGTATGTATATACAGATATATTATGTATGTGTACATATATGTATGTCTATATATGTATATGTGGGGGTGTATATATATATGTATATGTATATATATATGTTTTTTCACATATCTAGCAATTTTCACTCCCCTCCCCTTCATCCCTGGTAACCAACAAAAAAATTTCCTTCCATATATAAACTTTTCCTTGACATTTTTTACAATAGTGGACTAATACAATATTTGTCCTGTGATTGATTTATTTCACGCAACATAATGTCCTCCAAGTTCATCCACATTATGCAGTGTGGCACAGATTCTGCATTATTCTTTAGGGTTGCATAGTATTTCATTGTGTGTATGTACCACAGGTTGGTTATCCATTCCTCCATTGATGGGCACTTAGTTTGTTTCCATCTCTTTGCTGTTGTGAACAGTGCTGTGCATGGGTGTGCATATATCTATTCGTGTCCTGGCTCTCACTTCTTTAGGATATATACCTAGTAATGGAATTGTTGGATCAAATGGTATTTCTAATGACAACTCACCATACCAATTTCCACAGTGGTTATATCATTTTATGGTCCCACTGGCAGTGTATAAGAGTCCCAATCTCTCTACATCTTTCCATCATTTATTATTTTCTGTCTTCCTGAACTTTGCCATTCGTGCTGGGGTGAGATGGCATAAGTGGATAAGATAGGTTTTAAAACTGGAATATGAAACACGGTGGCTTTCCAGATCACCGGAGGAGAGGTGGATTCAATAATTGGTGTTGGGAAAATTGGGTCGCCATCTGGAAAAAAAAAAATACAATTGGATCTCACTCCTGGATCAGAATAAGCTCCAGATGATTCAAAGTTATAAATGTAAAGAATAAAGCCAGAAAAACATGGGCAAAGACAGTTATAATCTTGGAGCAGAGAAGGCCTTTTTAGCAGCTCACAGGCTCCAAAAGTCATAAAAGAAAGTCAGTTACACAA